TCCCAAAGAGAAGCATTCACCATCGCCTGGATCCAACTCCGCGTCACCTCCTTGCTGTTCGTGACCAGCCAGGAGGGGCACGGGTCCAGAATACATGGTGCAGCACTCACCACTCCCATGGCCTTGTCCACTTCATCAGGAGCAACAGGTTGAAAGTCAGTCCAGAGATGTTGTTCAAGACCTTCCCCCGGTACCTCGGCTGGCTCTGCGCAATTGGAGTCCAGGTCCATCCGAAACCGAGCAACTTTGTCAGCTAGGAACTGGACATATTCCTCTGCTCTACCTTGTAAGGGGTTATCCGCAACCCTCGTATTTAGGAGGGAGCGGGTCACCCTAAACAAGGCGGCAGGGCGTGACTCAGTGGACGCTATCAGAGCGGCAAGATAGTTAGTATTTATATTACTTAGGAAAAACAAAAAGTTGTGGTCTGATGTTAATGATTTATTTTACTGCAATAGAGGGAGTCGGAAATTAATTCTCCCCCCCCCCAACCCTTGCTTACTTCTCCTTCTCCCCTTTCACCTCACTGTCTTCCTATTTTCTTTTGTATTTTGTATCTTATTTTATAACCTAATAAATTTTTTGACAAAAAAAGCAGCCAATGCACAACAACACGTATCACACCCAGATACTTTTCTGCTCTTTTATTGCTGGTGGGAGCAATAAAACACACCCTGCCTCTGCATCACAATTTCTTAGCAAAAAAGGGTGGCTGTGTAGGAATAAATAAGAAAAAAACACAACCCCTGAGCTTGAAAAATAAAACTTGAAAAAGGGCACACTTTGCCTGATTCAAAAATGCTGGGTTTAAATATGCAATTCAGTGAACTTGGCCTTCCAAAAATTTCTAAAATCATAAAGTGGGCTGTAACAGGTGTGGGTTCTGGCAGACACTACTGCTGGTTTGCTCGTATAAGTGCTGCACACATGCGTTTGATGCGCGCTATGCACACACGTGCAGTGCAATTAAAATGGCGAGAGGGAGGAGCTGAGATAGCCGAGCCGGAAAAAGAAGCCTGATACAATCTGAAACTAAAACATGTGGAAACTATTTCTGAAACCATTTTTGTAATTTTTGGCTTAAGCATTTCAGTGGATTTTATATTATTACCTGACTTAATAGATTTGGCTTCCAGAGTCTAAACTTTTTGTATGAAGTGTGGAGATTGCTGAGGGGTGTGTATGAACCACTAAAGCAGTGTTTTTCAACCACTGTGCCGTGGCACACTAGTGTGCCGTGACATAGTGTAAGGTGTGCCGTGGGAAAA